AGAGTCAAAAATCTCTCTCTGACAAGTTTTGTTCTCTGATCATTCGAGCTTCTAAGAAAGAAGAAAAAGCCACTTGTAATTAGGAGCATAAAATGAAACTAGCATGGTATCTAAGATCTAAGGGCTATCTGATATCTGCCGAATCATTAAGTCCAGGAAAGCGAATACGCTTGACTTTCGGACTGTGATATAATAATGATTGACTTCCACCCATTAGAAAGCTTTCAATGCAAATATAGAGTCACAAATGTCGGGGATGTGTTATATTACTAACCAGAAGGAGTATTCTGTCGTTGTCTGTTTGTGATGTTATGATGTACGGCAACTGAAACTAGCGCACTTCGATGTGGATCTACGCACATTTCCACCAGAAGGTGTTGTATTTCTGCTAATACAGTTATTTTGTATGCATACTCGATGGTCTAGTAAGGGATCTCTGGAAGTGGGTTGTAAACAGGATCACTTCAATCAGTAGGAAAGATGTATTCGTATTTGGTTAGCTTGACTAATAACCTGAATATTTTAGTAAGCTAGGTTGACAATATACTTCCGGTAAACTAGAGATATTGCTCCATCAGCTTGAATGGTTGTGTGATTGATTACAAGATGAAAAGTTGAGGTCATTTTGTTGGTAGTTATATTAGACGATGACTTGAATAACAAGTGGGTTCATTGAGTAATTGACAATGTTTAGGCATTGAATATCTCCGTCCTCCTTTATGGCTGTGAGACCTGGCCATTGAGAGTGGAAGACATGAAAAGATTATCTGTCTTTGATCATAGGTGCCTGCATTCTATCTCCCGCATGAAGTGGTATAATAAGGTGAGCAATAGTGAGGTTAGGCATAGGTCGAGTGCTAGGTAAGGAGGGGAAATCAGTCGACGAAACGGTGAAATTACATCGACTGAGATGGTTAGGACATGTGTTACGTATGCCTAGTCATCGCCTTCCTCGACAATGGGCAATGTTAACTGATATAGGGTCAGGCTGGAAAAGAGCTAGCGGCGGTCAAACCAAAACACGGCACCAGTCAATGAAATCTACAACAGTTAGTCTAAGTCACGTAGGAAGGTGTAGACTTCCTGGTTGGGGTCCCCGCGACGGTAAAAACCAATGGTTGGAAACAATCGGTGACATGGCTCAAAATCGTTCTCAGTGGCGCAGATGCATCCACTCCTTGTGACTTATGATTTCCAATTAAACTGTTTTGTTCTTCGTTATTACTATTCCTTTGTCTCACATCTCTGTTTACTGTCTCTAATATGCATTTCTCCTACTTTCTTCTCTTGCTTTGTGTGCCACATGGAGTGTCGCGGCTTGAACTGCCGCACATATGTGCAAAGTTCTATGTCGAGAACAGACAGACATGGTGTGTTTCGTAAAGACTGATTTTTTAACCAAGAATCTAAGAGGAAAGTTGTGTCAGTTTGCCGTAACTGAAAAGGTCAAAGAATACTTAACACAAACAACGATTTAGAGTTTTGGGCTTTGATGAAGTGTATCCTTCACTTAAAAGTCTTTACAATCTGCATTAGTGAGTTACTTGCACGTTGACAGTAGTAATCTAAAGATTTACCAGAGCCCATTTCAGCTTCTTGCTATGATAAGACCTAGAAGGATAATTTTCCTAACCAGCTTAATTTATGAGATATGCAGATATGGTCATAATATCAAGTAGTAGGGGTAGTAAAATCTGAGAAAATCAATATAAATTAAAATGCAGCAAACTACAGGTAATTATTTTTTCCTGACGAAATGTTAAGAGTTTGTGTTCACCAATTCAACAGAATTTAGCATGTCTTTTTTTATCGCTTCCTTTGGTTTCAGGATTTCCAGATGGTCGTATTGCTCGCGCCTATTTGCAGCCGAATGTCAAAACTGATATTCCACCATTCGAGTGGGAACTACCTCGTGTACCATTACTGGTCAAATATCCTTTTTTTCTAAGAAAAATTGTTATATAATTATTAATTTATGGCGTAGAAATCACAGTGTCATGTTTAGATTCATCTATTGCATCAAGTGACTTTTATCGTGCGTTGATTCTAATAGGCCGTCGTACTGCCTTGTGATTATTTGCTTAGTAGTAATGACCCATCTTTGTCGAATCAACCGAGGTTACAACTCGGTTTTTTTCTTTACTTCGCTAGGCGTATCCCCTCCTGATTATGCACAAAAACTGTATATTTATATGTCAAATCTCTTGTGCTCACCTAATCCTTACAGGTTAATTAACTGGTGCTTGAGAAGACAAGAATGAAACTACAATTGAGTGGGAATTAAAGAATCTAAGTAGCTTTTTGATAAATTAATAGGTAAACGGAGTGATTTAATGGAGTGCTGTACTGAGATTAACTTATAAATAGAGATTGAATTCACAATATTTCTTCAGAAATTGAATACTCCTCTCAAATTTGTTCATGATAGAACATTTGTACACCTTCAAGCAACCAGTTTGACAGAACAGACATAAATATTTTTCCAGTTTGACCACGGATTGATATCAGTTAGAGAACGATTGAAAACCAGCGAGTATTGGACAGCTGTTTCATCCTAGTTTGGGAATTATCGGCAGTACGCACCCACCACCAGGGTGCGAACCCAGGATCTCCCAGGTTACAAAGCAAGCTCGTAAACCATTCAGTCACTGGGACCCGACTCAATGGCCCATGAATTCTAACTTCTCCTGGGCTCGAAACTCAGTGGGTGTGTACTACCGATGATTCCCGAACGAGAATGAAACAGCTGTCCAGTACTCCCCTGATTTTCAAGGAATCTCTAACTCATATCAACCTCTGGTCAAAGTTGAAAAACAAACCTAATCCTCACAGATCAACTCTTGAAAGTAAATATTTTTGTTGTGCTCTTTGCAAACTATTCGTAGATAGACCTGGTTGACAAATATAGCACAGTAGTATACGTGGGAGAGGTTTAGCACTTGATATTTCTACATCTCTTCTGAAAGGTACAGTAAATCTTAACGATGAAAATCTGCGAAAGCATTATTTCAGCGAAATTAATCAATGTACTAGCATAATTATGATAGGCATGTTTTTCCAAATAAGTTAATTATTAACTACTGTGGATAAAACATTTGTGGCCTTTCAAACAAATTTTATAAATGATACTACTATTTATCCTTAGTCTTTTCTTTACGCATGTGAATGCTTCGTTGGGATGGAGTGCTGAAAAAACAGAAGCTTTGCTAGCTTCTGTACTGAAACACAGACAAACTATGGAACTTGGAAATCCTGAAAAACTTCTCACATCTAAAGCACTCATAACTAATTTCTTTCCTGTTAAAGATAAAATGTGTAAAACTTCTGAAACCAATGGTGACAATGTTGATGCATCTGAGTTGGATGAGGTAAGTTGAACAGTTACTTGGTTGATATCTCACGCACTGAGTTAAATACCTCGAGTAACACAAATGATGATGATAGGTCATATCACTTTTATGAGGTTTCCACAAAATTAGTAATTATTATTAGTTTTATCAGTATACTGTTTCTCCTGCGTTAAATGAATGTCTTATTGTGTTCCTAGTGGAACAAAGAGTTTCAGACTTGAGCTCTAGCGATAGGGTTGCTATCTTTGCATCCAACCTTACCTCACTTACCTGGAATCGAACCCAAACCACATGGATGGTGGTTGGTAAACGTTCTACCATTGAACCATCGACACACTTAAACAAGTATGTCGAAGTTTATCATCTCAATTGTGAAACCTAATTGAATTCATAAGCATTTAAACTTCAGAACTGAAGGATTATTTACACCTTACCTAAATTTTATTCATATACATGAGTCGATTATATTCAATGAGTTACAAGTGACACTGAACTTTTGAAACATCTACAGACTGAACTCCTTCAGTCTGTAGATGTTTCAAAAGTATTGTTCTAACTGAATGCATTTATTAAGACAATAAACTATATACGATTGATTGTTTGACTAAATTTCAACGCATTCATTTATAGACGTATTACAACCGTGTGTTATGATTCCACGAATTACCTTTGTAAGCAGCAAACAATATATATAAATAACGAATGTGACGGTTTTCTCATCCAGTACATCTTTCAAATCCCTTTAGGTTTCAATGCCAAGCAAACGAGTTCGTCATGCAGCCAACCGGCTACGGACTAGAAAGGCAGATAACCACCAATCTCCTTGTAAAAATCCTATTACTCTACCATCATGTTCAACAAGCATAAAAGACAAGGACAATGAGCTTTCCGAGTTACCTAAACCCCGGAAGTCGAAGAGAAAGCAAACTGTAAAGAATCTCCCAGAAGAAGCGAAAGAAGAATTAAGTCCAGTAAAGTCCAAATCAAATAAAAAATGTACAAAAAAATCTCAAAAGAAATCTCAACGTCGAGTTGTCGAGAGAGTATGTCTATCTGAAGAAGACGATTAAACTGTATAGCAAAATATATAGTATAAGCAATTGTAAACTATGTAAATTCTTTATAATATCAACACTTTTATTATTATGAATAATGTAGACACTTGTTTTTTTTAATACTTATAACTTAATATTACAGTTATTTGATCAGTTGGACATTGAATGTTTCAGTCTTTTACAGCGTATCAGCTTGGTTGCTGAGAATTTTACACGACAGAGATATGAAGTGTTCAGCATACAACACAACAGCTTTATGCAACTCGATAACGAAACGCACATTCGTGCAGTTGTCAACGTGTCATATGGTAATACAACTCGGCTATTTAGACTTTCGTGAGACTGATTGAGAGTTAACCGCATTGAAGAATGAACCAACAAGCACTGTGAAAAAAGGACTTTTGAAGTTTAATTGATCAATGAATTGAAATAGTTATATCTTGAAGTAAAGTTATCATAGTAAAGATCTATTCCAGCATACACTTATACATTGATTAGTGAAAGTATCCTAATTCGTATTATCTGAAGTCCGTTGGTCACTGTGTTATGCAAACACTGATAATTTAAAAACACAAATAGAATTAATATCAGATAGAATTTATTCACATAAACCATAGTTTGTCATGTACAACAACACATCTTGTATAACATGATATAACAACACAGGAACAAAATAATCGGAGATGGATGTAAAACGTGTTTATAGTACCGTAACCAATTAGTGAAAATATTTCCAGGTGGTTTATTTCTCCATTGAACTGAACACCGGGCATTTCCTTGTCAATAGCTCTCATATTTATGCCAAATTATATCAAGTTATATTTAGTCAAGCTTATTTACATATAGTACAACTCTGTTTGTATATGACTCAACGTACACAACTGTAAAATATGGTTTCAAAATACTCGGTGTTTTACCAGTCTGTGAAACTTGTACAGATAACAATGATTCACACAATGCTGGTTGTCCAATCAGTTGTGGATCTAGTAAATCATAAAGCTCCGGTTTACTGCATCCTCCTCTAGGTGGACATGTATGCCCTTCGACGATAACAAAATCAGTCTAAGGAAGAAAAAGGAAAACAAATGTAGTGCGTATTTAGAACTAAGGAAAAAGTTCATAACAATTAGAATCTTATTTTCCAGTGCTGGTTTGCAGGGATTCGATCGATTCCAAGTTAGATTACGAAATGATGACAGTTGGAGAACCCCTGAACTCCGGGGCGTACTTAACAGCAGTACACAACCATTACCCCGATAGGGATCGAAACCAGGGCCTTCAGCCTTTGGAGCGGAACTCAATAGCCCATTAAATTCTAATTTGAGATATATAATGCGTACTGATGAAGAGATTCTGTGTCTAGGACAAAACAAGTGTACAGTACTCCATGGTTTTCAATGGTTCTCTTACTGAAGTCAGTGCATTATCTCACTTGAAATTAGAATCTTAAATTGAATTTAAAGCGCAGTTTGTATTGCAAGACATAAAGCATCCAAAAAGAAACTAGAAATAAAAGTGATATGAACAATTGTCACAAGCCATTACTTCAAATTCACGCACACAATAAAGTGTTAAATTAAAGGCACATGATATCGTCGATATTCATATGTTAAATAACATCCTTTACAAGTGTATTCACTCCTTACAAAAAAATTACGTCGTCGTAATTGACGAGTCCTCCAGGCAGTAGGTAGCTGTTATACAACATCAGAGATAATTTCAGCTTTCGGTTCTCTATATAGACCTATGCATAATTTTGGTTATGTCAAAATGGGGGAAAATACTACAGCATTCTGTAAAAACTGTTTGTATTTCAATCCATCTTAAGATTCTGAAATATCCCTTACGGCTAGGTATTTACTCTACATGAATGACTCAGTGATTAAACTAACGATGTAACGACACCTTATACGCTGTTAATTTGAATCCAATATTAGTTGTACGAATATTTAAATTCGGTATATAAATAATGCGAAAGGAAATATGTTTAAAAGTGAATGTTTTATAACTGGAATAGTAATCAGAAGCCTAGTATACCTGACAGTTTAATTTTATTAGGCTGCATAAGTTTTCTCACTATAGAAAAATCTACCTGACTTCTTGTAAAAAAGCTAAAAGTCATATTGCAGTTGTAAATGGACATCAAAACTTGTAGTACACAAGCTGAACTCGATGCGTAACTTTGACCGATAGCTGATTTCTTCCAGTGTGAACTACAATAGAACCATAATTCAAAATGAATCTATTCATGGTCCTCCATATCCAGAAATCCTTGTAATTAAGGAATACATATCTGAAATACTATGAATTTTTAACACGTGAGACGAAGAAGATTGATTACTGATCAGATCACAACTTTCAAACATAGTGTATTCTAGGCTTTAAAAATTAACAGGAAGTATATACCATCTAGATAGGATTTTGAGAATAATTGTTTCATGTATGAACAAGTAAGCATATGGCGTTATTTGTGGAGAATATATACTTGTATGTGTAACTTGATAAAACATGTGCATTGCGTGATTGCGTCACAGACAGAGTGGAGTTCTACACTATGATATACCCCGATGGGCACGTACTGTGAAGAGTTCCAAACTGGGATGAAACAGCTGTCCAGTACCCCCCCCAGGTTTTCCATTGGTTCTCTAACTGGTGTCAGCTCATGATGAAATCCTCCAACTGATATTTAGGTACACTAAAATAAAGGAAACGTTCCCACATAATGTATGTGGTGAAAATCAGTTATGAACAGCAACACCATTGTGCCTGGAAAGTCACAACAAAACATTAGAAATACAACTGCTCAGAAAGGGAAGTTCCAAAATGAAATAGACTATCATGCATTATATTTCCTAGCCTAGGTAAAAGATACAACTGAGTTCCACTCATGTATATGAAACTAAATGGAAACAAAATTCATTTTGTATACGCCAGACAAGAAATTTTTCTTGTCAGGAAACAAATTCTAAAGTGAACACAGTTTGGCCTTATAAGTCAATTAGAAAACACTCACTTTTAAAGAATAACGGTAAATTCGCCATACTTCGTGTACAGGTCTGCGACTATATATTGCATAGGCTAAAATAGTCCTATGACGAAGAATTGTATTCTCATAGTGTGGATGGTTTGTAAATGCAAATCCTGACTGATTTATTGATATGCTTTGTGTTGATGGATAAGGAGCAGAAGCTGGCAGTGTTAAACGTAGATTGCCTAACAGAGACATTGGACCAGATATTATCCATGAACTGGAGTTACCATACTTTTGTGGTAAATTTCGAAACCAACCAATCAATACCTCATTTTCATAATTACTAAATGAACCTTGTATCTTCCATTCCGACTAGCCAAATTCGAAAAACAGTACAAAAAATTAGAACGAAGAAAAACTTTTCTCGAGATTTTAAAGGCCTTTTATTAAGAAGTAAAACCATTCTATATTTAATAAACAAATATTAGAATTAGAATGACAGCCAGCTGAACACCTAGATGTTATGACTGACATTTCCGTAAATGACATGACGACGAAATTTCTTATTACTGAAATGGAGTAGTTATTATCTAGACTAACTACGAAGTCAAGCAACAATGATAACAAACGTGTTTCAAACCTTTCAGATGCCATGCAGTTATACAGACTAGATGAGAGGACAAAGTCAATCGCTTAGACAGCATTAAATCCGGTAACCCAGGTAGGCTGCGTGAGACATTAGAATATACCCCTGTAAAAATAACACTAACAAAACCGCCACACTTTAGGCCGCATATCGAAAACAAACAGTATGTTACGAGCAACATAATGAGAGCCACTATAGCATCAGACATAGGTGCTGTTTCTCGCAGCCACAATTCAATTGCAAAAAAATTGTGAAATGAGAGGCGATGGTGGAGATTAGTCATGTTAGATTCGTAAAATGTGGGAAAGGAAAACTGACAGGTCAGTTGAAGGTTATAAAAGGTGTCAGGTGAGTGGTTAGTACAAAGTAGTATGCATTTAAGCGAAGATTACAGTGAAAAGTTCACCATGAAATAACCAATATTTGAAATGAAGCAGGTGGAGGCATATATTGAGAAAAGAGATAATATTACTAATAATAATAAATGGGGAACTCGACAGTATTGAAAGAATTCCAGACTGAAGAATGTAAATTATAATCAATAAAAAATTATTATTATTATTATTAAATATAATAAGCAAAGCAAAAGCAAAAACCGCATGAGAAGAAGAGGCACTCTTCGAAAGAAGAAGAAATTTTAATGCAGATGGCGACAATCGTACATGCGAAGTCTCCTCGTGTAGGAATGAGTAACATTAAAGTTTTTAAGGCATACTAACATTTCTTAAGAGTGAATTGTGTTTAAAAATTTGATTGCCTAGGAGTTGACCAATGTATTTCAATCTGTCAGAGATCCATTAGCAAAAAACAACAATAGTGACATCCGTGAAATGTAAATACTCGTAGATGTATTATTCAAAACTTCCAATTTCGGCTTTGAACTCATCATATGCAAGCAAAGACGGATCATTTTGCTTCAATAAAAGCAAATCAAAGGAAAGTTAAAATTTGAATAAATAAAATTTTTTGACCACTGTCCGAGAGGTGGCTAGGTAGTCATGTTTTAAGTCACTGAAAAATAAATGAGAATTAAATTTTTGTTTCAGTGAATGCACTACCACTCACAATGAGATCTGTATGTATCTAGAAGGTGAGTTCCGGATAGGCTGGCTGGCTGGTTTCGCGTGCACTTCGGTTTGTGAGGGCGATTGTTACTTCCCGGCTGCCCACACCGTGGAAGTTGGTTGCGTGACCACAGAGCCCAGGGGACAACTGCTTGAGGCCGGTCACACACGGCCTGTTTTTGTTTGTTCTTTTTTATTTGGTGTGTCTCAGTAGCATATTTATCACTTCTGCCTTGTGACACGGCAGCAGGAAGCGCGGTCGTTGTTAATCCGGGCCCCGACCGATCCGGCATGATATTTTGTGATTTTGTTTGAGTCATGGCATTGGATTGGGTAGCTGCTTTTTGTCTAACCGCTATCCAAACAACCTTTCTGGCATGATAGGACCTACAGGAACTTAAGTTCCAGCCAGTGTAGCTCGTTGGGTCATTGCGATATGCAAGCCCGACCACCACGTCAAGGTAGCAGCTATCGGTCGGGAGTTCCAGATAGGATCAAACACACACTTCCTAGTTTGTGAAACTATGTGACTAAAATTGATATGATTATGAGTGGCAAAAATTTATGCTCTAGACGTCATTCTGTCGTTAATACTGCATCAATGTGTGATATATAAAGTAAACTTATCTAGTTTGGAACGCACTTTCTGAATTTTACTGTAGGTGACCACTTATAGAGAAAAAAAAGCATGAAACTAACCTTAACATTTTCTAATCCACGTACACCCATGAATGCTACAAATAACACAAGCACTGTATAAATAATGTAAACAACTCGATTTTGAACATTTTTCTGTTTTTCAGGCTTACAAACATCATTTGATGTCGGTTTACAGAAAATTCGACCACCGACACTTTTCAATAGATAAAATATATCAAACCATCGGGATGACTGAGCTAATATGGCAAGTGAAAGGCACATTTGCGGTGTCCAGAATAATTTCAATCTCATTATGAAAACAGCCATTACCGTGAAAATCAGCATCTAAAAATATATATAAAAGTGTGCAAATTAATTCCGAGAATTGGAGGAGGAGGTGTTGAATGATTGACTTGTATATGTCATAATGTCATTGTTCATTATAGGTGGTCAGCTATTACCTGTTGTCTGTCTAATGCAAACGTAATTTCATCTGCTGTGACTTAATCAAGGTAATGATAGAACAGTTTCTGATTGTTTTAATTAGAATAGTCAAGTGTTAGTCGACTAGTGACTGAATGACTGAGTTTTCAGTTTGCACAAAAGTTCAGCAGCTCAAATTGCCACACTCCATATGCCATAATGCAAAGATACTATAATAGGCGGAAATATGTAAGGAGAAGAGAGAACAATTACATGGAGAATAATGAGAATTTAGGAGTTCATAAAGAGCATCCGCGCTATTCTGAATGATTTCAAACCATATCATTAACAGTCTTCAGCTATTGATTCTTCACGTCTTGGAAACTTCAGCCAGGCAATCTACACATAGACAAGATGGAGGTTATGAAAATAACCAACCAACCAACCAACAACAACAGCAGTAGCAACATCCAGTGCCAATCACCATCAACGGGAAGGATTTGAAAGAGGTTACTTCATTCACTTATCTAGGGAGAATGGTCTCAACTACAGGAGGAACGGACGAGGATGTCAAATCGAGAATCGGGAAGGCGAGAAACACGTTCATCATCAACCTGAAACCAATCTGGAAATCTTCGTCACTCAGCCTGCATCAACAACAAAATTCGGATTTTCAATACAAACGTCAAGTCAGTCAGTTCTTCTATACGGTTCAGAAACTTGGTGGGTCACCAAGAATATTTCCAACAGCCTGTTGTAGACCTTTATCAACAACTGTCTTCCTTCTATACTGAAGATCAGATGGCCGGAAAGAATCACCAACAAGAAGCTATAGGAACAAACAAAACAAGAATCAATCGCTCAACAAATATGCAGGAGAAAGTGGAGATGGATTGGACACTTGCTGAGGAGGCCGCTGGGTGACATCGCGCGTCAGGCCAGTGCTCGAGTGGAACCCGAAAGGGAAGCGGCGAGTGGGACGTCAGTGGAAGGGTGACATGGAGGAGATCGTGTGATGAGGAACTGAAACAGTATGGATTAACATGGATGCAAGTGAAAAGTATAACAGAAGACAGAAGCAAGTGGAGGCGTGCAGTTGAAGCCCTATGTTCCACTAGGAACCCAAGGGAACAATAATAACATTATGGATGAGTGTTTCTGGTGTCCTGATTAAACCACTCGGCTACTGTAGTTTTCATTCAGTAAGATGCATCTACTTTTTCTGCCTTTCCTGTTGTCTTAATCTTTTAATTATATCCTTGGATTGCAGCATGAACTCATGCAAATTTTTAATTGATTTTCAACCTACAGCTGTGAACTTCAAGAAGAAGATGAAGAAATCAATGTTGTAGAGGAGTGAGTCCAATTTTTGATGGGATGACGTTGTGTCATACGATATATTTTCGGTGAATATTTAACTGAAGATTCGTATTTTAGTTGAATTTCCTACTGTGTTTAAACACATTTCCCAGAATAAAGCTGATATTATCATTATTATTATTGTATAAAATAACACATAGAAAAGTATATGTGAAAATTATTCACTTACCTGTATGATAACTAATAAGGAAATAAAATCTCTAAATATTTTGAATGTGTATCCATAGTTCAGGTAATTATCATTGCTAGATGATTGAGCATGCGTGGGTGTTGATGCAGTATTAGAAGAAGTGAACAAACTTTTGACTGGTTTAAAACAGGCAATACAACACGCCAATATGGCACCGAATAGAAGACCAGTTTCAAAGGGCTGCTTTAAAGCCATCCACTGGCAAAAATAGAGGGGAAAAGAATGTCTGAGTTTTAGATAGAGATTAACACAAATTAATCATCACATAGTATTAATAAAAACAGAAACACTATAAAGGCAAAGTTGAAGAATAACGATCTAAGTAATGCGAACATACAAGTGGATTGCTATGCTTTAATCTTGGCTAGCGTTATGATATTTGACAATGTGAAATCAAATGTACTACATGTAATAGGTACACCTAACTCTATAGACCAGCAACTAAGTGGTGTACAATTCACTGGTAATAAACCATACAATACGGCCCACATTTTTTATATTCCTTTACGTTCCCAGTGGAATATAGGTCTTCAAGCTACAGGCTTGAAGTTTCGGTAGAAGTAGTGTTAATTTTGACGGGATGGGATTGCTAGCCTCATGACCAACCTACCTTCTTTACAAGTCTTGTTACTGGCTTAGCGAGGTAAAGGAGTGTGACGGCCGAGGATCGAACCCCGGAACATGCGTGGTTGGAAAGCATTCTACCACTGTGCCACGGACTCCCACATAACAGATAATACTTTGAGAGAACATTAAAGTGTCTTAGAAATTTCGAGATCTTAACAAACTCTTTGCTAGTCAGACTGACTGGTTTCAATATAGAACTTTGCACAGAAGTGTAGCAGTCCGAGCTGCCACACTGTCTCCATGTAGCACACAATGCAAGAACAAAAGAGAGAAAAAAAGGATTCAAAAGAGCGGTAATAAGCAGAAATGTAAGGGAGAAAGAATAGTAACAAAGGAAAACAATAGGATTCAATGGATATGTCAGATCACAAAGAGTGAATGTATTTCCGCCATTACTGACAACAATTTTGAGCCATATCACTAGTTGTCTCCAGCCTTTATTGGTTTTTATTATCCCGAGGACCCCAACTAAACAGTCTACACTTCCGTGCGACGCCCAAACGAACTGTCAAAGATTTTATGAACTGATGCAAAGTTTTGGTTTGACCACCACTAGCTGTTTTCCAAGCTAATCCTACGTCAACTAACATTTTCTGTCAAGGAAGGCGATGGCTATGCTATTTCAATCGATTCACCTTCAAAATCAACTGACTTACAATGATTACCTAACACTTGACGCCTAACCGTAATATTGCTTACCCTATTATGCCAATTCACATGGGAGACAGAACGCAGGCACCTATGATCAAAGACAGCTAGCCAGCATTTTCATGTCTTCCACTTTCAATGACCATGTCTCGCTCACAGCCATAGAGGAGGACAGAGTGAACTGCTTAGCAGTATACACGCCCTTAGGTCGACAGCTGGATATCACGGCATGCACAGACATGCACACTTGCACTTATATATATATATATATAATATTTGAAATACACTTACACTAATGAAATCGAATTCAGGTGCACAAACATATAACATTGTATGAAATGTTTTATAACCGGTACCAACAAATATACTTAATTTATGCTTCAATAAATCCCATATATGACCACCATCATCATTTGGTGATAAATTGTTGCCTCCAACAGAAGTATATTTCAAAAGGCATGAGACGATAATCCCAAATCCAACTGTTGCAATACAAGTAATTATTACTGGTAAGCATAGAAAACGTATGAAAGGAGTATGTAATATTGATGAGAATGTAGACAACAATTCATTCTTTTTCTTCTTCTTCTTTTTCTCGTTACTTTTCATAATGTCGAAAGCTGAGAAAATATAAACAAAAAGAAAAGAAAAGAAAAAAACAGATACACATCTCACTTTATTTCATCTAATTTAAACAATCCTCTAAAAATCAAAACAAGGGATTCAGCGAAGAGACTCTTTTCAACGAATTTATTATTATCAAGCTATACAATTGTATATATATACACATGGTTTTCAGTTGACCATTAACTGTTCAATAACCTGAAAGACAAGGTCCCGCTGTTGACTAACTCTATGCGCGTATATATCAATTCACCTGATCGTGCGGAGCTAGACATATCGGTCGTTCGACTCGGGTTTTGTCCAAGAGGGTGGTGGTTACGAAGAGGTAGAAGTGGAGCTATGCCAAGCGCGATCATTGAACATCTGGTCGATAATGATTACCCGATCTCTACAGCCTCCACCATTAAAGTCATCTACGAGGCACAAATCACTACGTATCCGACCCATCTGTATGGCTGAAGCCATCTTTGGCCATCGAAATAGAGAAGCCAGATGTCTGTATACAGAAGAAGTTAGTTCAACTCCTCCAATTTTATGGTCTTAATCCCTCTAAGCTAAAGTATGTTAATCCCTAATCATATTTTAGCTCTACTTTCTCTTCTTTTTGTTTAGTCGATTTGTATACTCTTCTTTTATTACGCCAACTGTTACTATTATTATTCTCACTCTGAATTGTCCCCGGTATTATTTCACTCGTTCAACTTGGCATTCTAAATCAATTTTGTTTTGCAACGTTAAATTCTGTTATAATATTTCATACAATGTGACATAATGCTTTTATTTGTATTCTATTTGCTTACTAATCCTATAATTCCACACCCCATTCCAACATCTATACATCCCATGAATTGCTCTATATATGACATTACTTGTTTTGCCATTTCACATTGAAATATGATTATAATCACAAACATTTTAATCTTAACTGCATTTCATACTATTATTATTCTATGTATCCACACCAATGATTCAATTCCTTCCCCGAATATAATTCCTTAGAAACCATTTATAAACGACTGTATGGCTTGATAATAAATTCGTTGGAAAGGGTCTCTTCACTGAATCACTTGTTTTGATTTTCTATATATATATACCAATGGGAATTTTCCATGAATACTCTGAAAGCAGTTGTTATCAAGCAGGCATGATCGTGTCATACAGTTGGTGCAGTATGCTAGCATTTATTAGCAAAAATTATCTGCGGCCCTAACAAAACCCCCTTTCATCTGAATATCACACATGATTTCAATCAGGAGTCTATTTCGTTTATTTAGACCAGTACCACAGAGGAACAAACGCGAATTTAGTGGTTAAAATGTTAACGACAATAAACCACGTTCAAATTTCAGCGGGGGACTGAGTCTCTTCAAAGTATTAAACATAATTTTCTGACGAAAAACAAGGTCGACCAGTGTCATGTAGACCAGCTGCGCTAACGCTGAGCAGTAGTGTTAAATTCTAAATTTGAAAAAGCCAAACAATTCGAGGTGAAATTTCGCTACAGCTTCCCATTAGCAGCCAAAATTATTATCACAGTATATGATCTGCCTATTGTGACAAATAACAGTCAAGGAAGTAAGCATAATTCCATGGTGCTGTATGCTACTGATCGACTAATGTGAGCAGTTGGATACCACCGACATCAACCAGTACTGGTCACCAGACAAATCGAAGCGATCTAAATACCTGATGTCTGTTTCGCTCGTCTGGTGTCTAACTCATCAACGGTGTGTACGGTGAATGGTGTACAACTCCTCAGTCAATCCATGGGTAGAACACAGCATTTTGAGTATAAGGTTGCTTTATTAATTGTCTTTTATAGTATCAGACAGATTACATATTGTAGTCTGGTTAATTTCAGTTTCTAAAGAAAAATTGCGCCCAAATCTCATATAGAACTGAGTAATTTATAAACTGAGAAGTTAATTCAACGTATTGCCAGCTAGCCAGAATTTGTCTCTCTGAGCTGACTTAAACCGAGTGTACGGGTGAATGAGCAAAACGATAGGCCGGTGTTAAGGTCACTCTGATCTGAGTAGCATACCTTCTCTTACATTAGAAGACACAATGTTTATTAGATTACTTGTGCCTCCAGCATTATTTTCAACCAGTATTATGTTGAATATGATATTTATATATTATATTTAACCTGAGATTGGGGAATTTTAAATAAATTAGTGGCCTCCTTAAGGCTTGGGCTACCGAAAACCTCCATCAATATATTGCATATAATTTCTCTGATTCAATTTGTTTAAATCTAGTAAAATATGACCTCTAATAGTATTATTTACTCTGGCGAGTATTTAAAAAGTTTACAACCTGCTAATTTGCAAGTTTCTACTGAACTTGAGAAAAAGCATAATTCTGGGTAGTAACGTGTACTAATACATAAGATAGCTGTTACTGAGTTGTATTGTTGGTTCTCAGAATGTACTCCTGACCTTTTTATAATTGGCATTCAACTTAATGTCGTGCATATCTCGAAGGAGACTAAAATGAGATATCAAAAAATGGATTGGTGTCACACGATCTGCTGTCGATTTAATCTTTTATTTGAAAAAAACTGGACGAAGAGAAACTATTATGCAATAAACTCCGCTGAAGATTCTGTACATTACATAAACGCTGTTCAGAATAAAGCTGTTGTAATTTTTTTAAAATAATGATTGAATCCTATCGGTTAACGACGGAGATGTAGTCAGTAAGTTACGTAACAAAAACATTGTCTGATGTCCAATGTTTTAAATATAAAACATAGTTCTTATGTGTGTTGACATTTGTCAACAATATAACCGAATTCTTTCTCAAAGTCCAGGTAATAATACTGAAAGATTTTGGATGAGATAAACACAACCTTGAAATAAAATAAAATGGAGTCTTATAGGTCAGTTGCATGTACATGCTGACTGACTGGTTTCAACATAGAACTTTGCACCGATGTGCAGCAGTTCGAGTCGCCACACTTCACTCAGCACACAAAGCACCAGAAGAAAGTAAAAGGAAATGCAAAATAGAGACAGTAAACAGAGATTTGAGGCGAAAAGAATAGCAATAGTTTTATTAGGTATTATAAGTCACAAGGAGTGGATGCATCCGCACCACTGAGAACGATTTTGAGCCACATCACCAATTGTTTCCAGCCATTGGTGTTTACCGTCCCGAGGACCCCAGCCAGGAAGTCTACATCTTCCTACGTGGCTTAGACTAACTGTTGTAGATTTCATTGACTGGTGCCATGTTTTCGTTTGACCGCCGCTAGCTCTTTTCCAGCCTGAACCTATATCAGCTAACATTGCCCGTCGAGGAAGACGATGGCTAAGCATACGTAACACATGTCCTAACCATCTCAGTCAATGTAACTTCACAGCCTCGCATATTGATTTCCCCTCCTCACCTAGCATGTACATGCAGTAAACATTAGGTTACATGTATTGTGCGTTTGCATATAATCTTATAATAATTAAATCATGCATAATGAACTTGTGACCAACCAGACGAAAGCTGAGTGTCTTACATCAATGAGCTATAGTTCAACTCAAAGGAGAAAATACCAGTCACTATAGGCAAATAAATAGAAATCTTTTATAAACAAAATAATACAACTTACTCTCTATTAATTGTTGAAGTATGTACACAGTCAGTAAACTGCCAAACAGACAAAATAAATAACCAGATTGAAGTAGTAAACGATTACCATATTGTAATATAAAAGATAAATTGAATACGAATAAATGAATTCGAAGTATTCGTTTCACTGTTAATAAAAGATTTATAGTGATTGATTTCTGGTGTATAGAATTAGGTGGATTCGCTGTTAGCGTTATAAACAATGCGCATAGGATAGATATAATTTGAGTAAGTAAAGCGAATTGAGCAAATTGCCAGGGTAGTTGAAAACCTAACAGAAGTATACAGTAGGCTAGGGAAGAAATGAAAGTTTTCAATAGGCTTGATGGTAACTGAAAAGAAGAAATAAAGATAAAAGTTGATGAGCACAAACTTACTGAAAAAACAAAACAAATATATTGTGAACAATCTCTATAACTGTTTTTAGTATGTTGGAGCTTATGTCACTATATGTGATTCCTGAAGTCCAATCACGGGGAAAGATACTTCAACCCCAGGCCCCAATAGTATACAGCCAAGCAATTAAGCCTAAGTAACTTACCCTTCTATCAAATTAATTACGAGAATTACCGACCGACAACTCGTATACGGTATTTGTGTAGTTTGAAAGTTTATTTCAAAAGCACGCTGGCGGGTAAGTGAAGAGGGAAAGCCTAGTCAAACACACGGAAGGGTAATCATCTGACTGACTGATTGGTTTCAACATAGAACTTTGCACAGATGTGCAACAGTTCGAGTTGCCACACTCCCCCCTCCTTGTAGCACACAAAGCAAGAGAACAGACTAAAGAGAGATTCAAAAGAGTGATAATAAACAGAGGTGTGAGTATGGAAGAACAATAGAATTTTATTGGTTATTACAAACCACAAAGAGTGAATTCATTTGCACTATTACTGACAACAATTTTGAGCCATATCACCAATTATCTCCAGCCGCCACTGGTTCTTACCATCCCGGGGACCCCAACAAGACAGCCAATCTGCACCTCCCTACATGGCTGGCTTAAAATAACTGCTGTGGATTTCATTGACTGATGAAGCCATGGTTTGGCTTGACCACCACTAGCTCTTTTCCAAACTCATCCATCCTATGTCAGCTGGCATTCGCCCGTTTCCCAGGAAGGCGATCGATGGCTAGGCATAAGTAACACATGTTCTAGTCATCTCAATCGATGTAACTTCACAGCCTCGTAGATTGATTTCCCCTCATTACCTAGCACTCGACGCCTAACCTCATTATTGCTCACCTTACTATACCACTTAACACGGGAGATGGAACGCAGACACCTATGAGGGTATTCATCACTCAATATCGTCAAATATGGAAAGAGAACCTAAAAAATAGTAATAAGGAAGGTATAGTTTCTGCTTGGTTACTCTCCTCATCCTTATGAATTCCTTAATCGCTTAATACCCCCCGAGTGACTTTAGTGTTCCATGTTGTAACAACTAGAATGCATGAGTAAAACGACTTAACAAAGACAACAAATATCATGTGGAAAATCCAATTGACACTTATGTGAACGGTAAAATTGAAGAAGAAAAATCCTTACTTGAAGCTTTCAAAATAAAAAAGAATGCATGATGCAATATCCATGAGTCTCTAGAGAGCAACAACAAGTAAAGTCCATCTATTAGGCAGCTACAAGTGGTGGGCGAAATCATCGGATAATAAAAAAAGAGCTACATTAACATCTTTTAAGACCCTCAATTGACAAAACGGTCACTAAGAAGTATTACGTATGCACATTACGTATCCACCTCAATTTGCTGAGACTGATGGGACTGAGGTCGAATTTGTAATACACTACAGAAACAGAAATAATATCAGCTAATAGAATACTGAACTATTTATAGGCTTCCTGCACTAAGTCAGGAAGTGGCTGACCGAAGTCTTTGTGGTTTAGATGAATGCATTCTTCACTTTCCCAAATCGTCCACTACTCTGCATTACTCTTCGCTGCAAGTCTTACCCAACCATTGGTATTACTGTTTGCATTGTTAAGAAGGACTTTTTGTTTCCCATCAGTACATGTTGTTCGTAAAATATGAGATTGTCGACTTGTTTTGTCACATTCTATGTTATTACTGCTTTTTTGTTTATTTGTGATTCAGTAGCACGAATTAAGAGAATATTAAATTAAATGCGATTTGTCATGTATTGAGAAAGGGATAAATTTAAAATAAGAAACCCTACATATATGGGTGAATCCCAAAAGTTTGAAAAGGTGTCGCAGTGTGATGTTAGCTGATGCATGGCAAGTCCTGATTAATAAATAAATAAAAATGGATATGTATCACTAATTAATCATATTTGATCTAAATTCCTGATTGTCTATATCTTCTTATGGAGAGGCTGACAAATGATTTACAATTGTTTCCCGATACACACATACTCGAACACACACCATTGTATACCACATATACACATATATTTTTATATTCAGTTATCTACGACCATGAACTTCAGTCGAACGTAATCACTAAAATTCTGATGAAAAAGTACACATTGTTTACAGTGTTTAACAAAAGTAGACTAATATTTGTAATTAGAAGTTAATCGGTGGATGGTGACTAGCAATGGAACTCAGGATGCGCATTTCGTCATATTTGGGACTCGTCATCTGGATATGTCTGCATTCAGCAGTCAGTGACGATGTTCCCACCGATGCTCGAACCCAGTGCCCATAGTTTCAAACGCTAAAGAATCCTGGATTCTACTGCTAGTCACCATTCACCAATTAACCTCTAATTACATGCCCAAATATCGTCGAAGCATCTGCACAAGGAGCCGACAAGTCAACCTGAGACCTTCACCCTTCGACAGATTCTAGGACATAGGCATTCCTACCGACGCCCAACAATCATGCTCACTAGTGACTTGCCCTCTTCAGGTAGGTAGTTGCCTGGGGTTCTAGTGAGAAGTCGTGACCAGTAGGGTGCAGCAGGTCGGGCGTGAGGACAAATACTCGCCGAAGACATTGGCTAGGAGTCGCGCTATGTCGTGAATTGGCAGAAGTCAGAATTCATGGACCATTGGATCGGGTCCCAGTGGCTTAATGGTATACGAGTTCGCCTTGTAACCAGAAGGTCCTGCGTTCGAATCCCGGTGGGTGCGTACTGATGAAGAGTCCCAAATTAGGACGAAACAACTGTCCAGTACTCCCAGGTTTTCCAATGGTTCTCTAACTAATGTCAGCTCATGATGAAAATCCTGTAATCATTAAATTTCTTGACCTAAAGGCGGCATTCGATTCTGTCGACCGAGAGGTTCTCTGGCGATGCTTGGCTGTAAAGGGAATGCCGAGAAAATACATTGCACTGATTAAGGCCCTCTACTCGTACTCATGCAGCCAGGTGAGGGCTTATGGCGAGTTGTCATCTGAAATGGTGACGACTAGTGGCGTCCGTCAAGGATACCCATTATCCCCATTTCTATTTAATTTCATCACAGACGCACTAATGGACTTAACCCTAATTCACTTCAGAGACTCAGGGATTGACTTGCTACCAGGGAATAATCTAGTTGACTTAGAATATGCAAACGATATAGTCCTTTTAGGCGAGGACGCTGACAAAATACAGAGTCTTCTGGACACCTTGAGCAGCAACCTTCGTATGTTTGGCATGCGATTCGCCTCTGTAAAATGTAAGATGATGCTGCAGGATTGGACTACGCCGACCCCTAGATTAGAAATAGGAAGTGAAGTGGTAGAGCATGTTGACCGCTTCACTTACTTGGGAAGTACCATCAGCCAGTGCCAACGGGTTGATCTCTGACGAATTCTCAGCACGAATACAGAGGGCTAGTTTCGCATATGCCAGTTTACGCAGTCTCTGGCGTAGACGTGATATCCGGCTATCGACCAAAGGGCGTGTGTACTGCTCATCAGTCCGCTCCGTCCTTCTTTACAGCTGTGAGACCTGGCCAACGAGAGTAGAAGACATGAAAAGGCTAGTTGTCTGTCTTTGATCATAGGTGTCTGCGTTCTATCTCCCGTGTGAAGTGGTATGATAGGGTGAGCAATATTGAGGTTAGGCCTCAGTCGAGTGCTAGGTAAGGCGGGGAAATCAATCGACGAAACTGTGAAATTACATCGACTGAGATGGTTAGGACATGTGTTACGCATACCTGCCTAGTCATCGCCTTCCTCGACGGGCAATGTTAGCTGATATAGGGTCAGGCTGGAAAAGAGCTAGCGGCGGTCAAACCAAAACATGGCACCAGTCAATGAAATCTACAACAGTTAGTCTAAGCCACGTAGGAAGGTGTAGACTGCCTGACTGACTGGTTTGGGTCCTCGGGACGGTAAAAACCAATGGTTGGAAACAATTGGTGAAATGGCTCAAAATCGTTCTCAGTGGCGCAGATGCATCCACTCCTTGTGACTTATGATTTCCAATGAAACTGTTTTGTTCTTCGTTATTACTATTCCTTTGTCTCACACCTCTGTTTACTGTCTTTATATTATGCATTTCCCCTACTTCTTCTCTTGCTTTGTGTGCTACGAGGAGGGAGTGTGGCGACTTGAACTGCCGCACATATGTGCAAAGTTCTATGTCGAAAACCGACCGACCAACCTGAGACCGAGCACTTCGGTTCAATCAATCTACGGGAAAATCTAAAATTGAATTCAATAATATTTGTAAGCCTTAGGTCAAAATTTTGATCACAGTTCATACAATTTTGTTTGCTTATTGTATTTTGATGACGGTTTCATGACTCATATGATTGGAAAAAGTTTTTAAAAACAAGAGATATCCTTATTTTAATTCCGATTAATTTCCCTGAAGAAGTTCGGACCAGTTGGTCGAAAGAAACGTTGGAATTACTCGTTTTAGTTTCGCTGAGTTTTTACAAACATAATTTCCACATATGTCTACTTCTCACTCGGCGCCCAATTATTTTAGAACTATTCTGTCAATTCTTCATCACAGTTTATATGATATTTTATTTTAAAGCAGAAATTAAGATTAGCAAGTATACTCACCATTTTCTGAGATCTAAACTGACTAAGTAGAAAAGCCTGTTGAAGTACAAAGAATGGATAAGCAAAGCTCTCCCTTAACGGTGGAGTCCACTGAACACGAGTAGCTTCTCTATGATTAGAGAAATATGCTAGAACGGGTATAAATGCACCGAAAAGTGAGATGAACAGCTCACTCTTGGATCGGTTTACGCTTCCAAATCTTGCAATCAACCAACCAGAGTATGTAAGACCAAAAAGTATTAAACCTGACAAAATGAAAACTGAATTCACATAGAAATATGGTGGTTCTCCAGATCCTTCACAACTGATAATAGATGTATTGCTGATCTTCAGTTGATGAGTTGGTATCACATCTAGTCTAAACAATGAACAGAAAGTAATAAATTATAATTATTGCTATCATTAAGTTAAATTGTTAATACAATCAGAAAAGAAGAATGTTATGAAATAAGACACTATAATGCCCAACGCGAATAAGAAGTATGGCGGATTACATATTACCAAAATGTCTAAGTTTTACAAACATATTAAAAAAACAGTTATTAACTTATCCAAGCACAATTTATCAGTCTGTCTGTCTGTCTGGATTCAACATAGAACTTCGCACCGAAGTGCAGCAGTTCGAGTTGCCACCTTCCAAATAGCACACAAAGGTAGACAAGAAAATGAGTGAAGAGTTTTGACTAGCATAAGAGTGAAACAGAATGAGTAATCGTAGAAAGGAATATGAAAGATTACAGAGACTGAATACATCTGCATAAGCCATTGACAACGATTATGAGCCATGTCACCTATTGTCTCCAGCCATCAATTCTTAGAGTCCCGAGGGCCCCAACCAGGAAGTCTACATCTCCCTACCTGACTCAGTTTAACTGTCAAGGATTTCATGGATTGATGAGGCCATGTTTTTGTTTGGCCACCACTCACTCTTTTCCAACCTGCACCTATATCAGCTGGTAATGCCCGTCGGGGGAGGCGATGGCTAGGCATGCGCAGCACGTGGCCTAGCCATCTCAATCTATGTAACTTTATAGCCTCGTTGATTGATTTTCCCTCTTTGCCCAACACTCTACGCCTAACGTTAACATTACTTACCTTATTATACCACCTAACGTGAGAAAGAGATCGTAGACATCTATGATCAAAAACAGTCAACCTTTTCATGTCTTCAACTCGTATTGGCCATGTTTCAGAGCCATAGAGAAGGACGAAGCGAACTGCTGAGCAGTAGCAATCGTACAAAGCACTTTACAAGTAGACTATCAATATACATCTATATTTACCAGTATAGTTGGGATGCCATGGCAGAAACATTTAACTTCCAACTAATAAGTCATATGTTCAAACAGTGCCTTAATGCATCCCCGCCTTCGAATATTTGCTACTAATAGATGGAAGAGAAGGTAGGATACACAACTTTCTTCAAATTTTGAAATAAATGCTTACCAATATAATCGCTAATATTACTGAGTTGTTTGATGACGACGCCTTATAATTCAGAATATTTAAAGGCGTTATTAATCGACTCTAGTTTTCCAACGAAAGCTAGGCTCATTAGGTCTCTATATTTATATAGACTTTTTGTGTTCATATCAGCATATTAGACGTACTAAGAACTCTTTTACTGAAGCTTTAAAATTAATCCGGAAAATGATACCATTTGATACGTTCACCACCAATGAATGATTTAGGCCACATGGAATTCTTTCATTATGCACAAATTTGTAAAATGACACGAAAATATTTTTGGAAATATTGTCAGTTGAATGACAGTTATTTGAAGTTACTTAAAATCAACATAAAAAGAAATCAATCAATCCAAATCTATTAACAACTAGAACTACGTTCGTCTTGACTACTGTCAGGTGTTGAAATAAGTGTCAAACTGTTGTATTCATAAAAAGCTTTTTTTCACTGAATTGTTATATACTCAAGGACTGATATAATCTGGATGGTTTTTAACTGTACTCTAACCTGAAACAGAGGTGATGAAGATTCCTGGACAACACCACCAACAGCAACAACAACAGACAACAATCAGCATAAATGGAAGGAACCTGAAAGAAACAACCTCTTTTATCCACCTGGGAAGCATCGTTTCAACTACAGGCGGATGGAACTGACGAGGATATCAAAGCAAGAATCGGAAAAGCAAGACAAGCTTTCATTACTCTCAAGTCTGTGTGGAGGTCAACAGCACTCAGCATCAAAAATAAGATCTGGATTTTCAACTCTAATGTGAAGTCAGTGCTACTCACTATACACATCAGAGACTTGGCGCGTCATAAAGAGCATCTCAAACAAACTACAGACCTTCATTAACAGTTATCTTCGCTCAATACTCAAGATCAGATGACAGGCCAGAAAAGATCAGCAATAGAGATCTCTGGGAGCGAACCAATTAGGAAACAATTGTGAAACAAATATGCAGAAGGAAATGGAGATGGATTGGCTGGCCATACTCTTAGGAAACCATCAAGTGACATCACTAGACAAGCCATCGCTCGAGTGGAACTCGAAAGGGAAGCGGCCAGTTGGTCGTCCAAGGGTGACTTGGAGGTCATGTGAAGGGGAGATGAAAACTTGTGGGCAGACATGGAGTCAGGTGAAGACTCTAGCAGAGAACCGAAAGCAATGGAGACGCACGGCTGAAGCCATATGTTCCTCTAAGAATTAAAGGAAACAATAATAATAATAATAACCTGAAAGTCCTCCTATGCAAGAAAGATTGTTAGAATAGCGATTAGACTAAAAGCGGTTACCGGTATTGCGTAAGAACTTTTTTACACTATGCTCGGCGTCTGTGAGCAAAGTTGTACTGCTGGGGAACAGGGATTTAACAGCCGCAGTTTCCTTTAGATGACCAGCATGCCAGCTATGTTGTCCCTCCACTCCGGAGAGAGGGGGTTAGAAAAGGTCGACCCCAAGAATTTCACATTCCGACTTACCCTACGGTGGTCCATAGCCGGCGGTAAGTTACTAGTACGGAACCAAACCGAAATAGCTAATTCAGACAGGCCATGTGTGACCGGCCTCTGCGGTCACGCAACACTAATTCTCTTTCTGTTTCAGGTACCTCAAGAAAAAATCAACTTCCACGGTGTGAGCACCCTTATCATCTTGCTTCCCTACTCCAGCCTGTATAAGCTAGCTCACTGGATGACGCTGAACCAATACTTTCTGCTCATTTTTTAAAAATAAAATAATATAATTTACGTGGAAAATACACTATATAAATTTAAAAATAACTAATGTTCTTCGATTGAAACTGCGGGTATCATGTTTTGCAAAACTCAGTAATGCTTAGAAATTGTTTATTTTTAGAGCCCTGATTTGTTATCGTGAACGTTTCATCACAGGGCTGAGTAAAATCTTCACAGTCAACTTCATTAAGAGGACTTCTGTCACTGTATAGATTCATCGATAAGATCTAAATTATTCGAAGCATGCGTCTTAACTTTAGCAAATACCAGATGTAAGGTGATGATAGCTTAGGATAAGTTTCATGAAAGATGCTGAGTTAAATAATTAAAAGTGAAGTGATTGAATGCTTCAGTTAATTAACTTGTCTGCAGAGTCACAAAATTTCAAGTAAGATACTTGTCAACGAAATATCTACATTAACAGAGAGAGACTTAACCTGACTTCAACCAAGTTAAATTACATATGGGAATTGTAAATTGTTTAATTATTTCATCAGCATTTACCAATTCACATGCACTTGCGACAGCAGATCCCTCAGTCTTCGTATGAGAAGTAAGACTGTTAGCTAGTGCGATCGCTAGGTTCCTGGTTAACACAGAAGATGCAGTTGAAATCAGTCAGGCTAAAATAATCAACACACAGAAAACCTTGGTCGCTTCTCAAGTAGTGGTTTTGTAGGGATTTTTTGTTTGATTGGTTGGAAGATTTCATCATCAGCTGACATCAGTTAGAGAACCATTGGAAAACCGCCAGGGAGTAATAAACAGCTGTTTTGCCCTGGTTCGAAACTCTACATCAGTACGCACCCATCGGGGTTCGAACCCAGGACCTTCTGGTTACAAGGAGAGCTCGTAGACCATTAAGCCACCGGGACCCAATCCAATGGTCCATGAATTTCAACTTCGTTTTGCAGAAGCCATTGCTGTCAAACGATTATAACTTAACCTCGGTATACAGAAACGTAGTCGAGTTAACCTCGTACTATACCGGTAACTAGATCTGTTTATACCTTCAGTTGCTTTTTAAATAAAGCTGTAGTCTGACATGCGTAGCGCATGGCATCGTCATTTAAACCAATGACGATCCCCAACTTTATTGGTCGATCCATTTCCATTGTCTAAAACGCTTTACCTAACAAAATTGTTTTATTTAACATAAGAGATAAACAAAGGTATTTATAATCAAAGGTAAATTTCTGCATCTTATGTCCTAAATAGCCATGTCTCACAGATATAAAGTAGTAAGGAACGAACTAAAGCGTAGTAGACGCATCTGAAGATCACGTTGGTGCTAAAAATGACAAAAGTTGATCAGCGCCAAACACGACTTCATATCTGTTATGATACTTTGTGAGCAAGCAGTTTATCACGGTCGAAGGTGCCATCACTACTTTACTTTACTTTACTTCGGCTATCTCCTACGGGAGGATGAGCCGGCTTCATGAACATCTCGAATAAGAGAGTTCATGAAGTTTCATGGGAATTTGGTACGAGTGATGTCCCCAGAATCGCTCGGCCTTTTGTTTTGTGATGAGAGCAAGCTGCTAGCCAATTGGTAGACATTGATCTACGCTGATTGGTAGAAATTAATCTCGGCTGATTCAACAACCAATCACAGCTGACCTTGACGTGGACAAATATGATTCGCAGACAAGTGGCTCGCATTTCCGAAAAACATCGAAAACGAGAAAGCAGAAGACTGCGTTTGTGTGCAAACAACCAATCAGAAGACCGCCTTCTTTCTGCGGGCAGAAGCCTATTAATGTACGTAAAATACATATAAATACCTGTTGGTTTTCGTAATAAAACTGATCTGTTGCCTGGCCCTTGTCTTCTGTTGTTACACCATCACTACTTTACTTTACTTCGGCTATCTCCTACGGGAGGATGAGCCGGCTTCATGAACATCTCGAATAAGAGAGTTCATGAAGTTTCATGGGAATTTGGTACGAGTGATGTCCCCAGAATCGCTCGGCCTTTTGTTTGAGAGTGCAGCTCTAGCCTTTACACAACCAAGTGTGACCTACAAGGCAGTAGGAGTGGAGTAGGGAGTCCACTATCAATTGTCAGCCGGTGACCGGAGTTCGGTTCATACGCCTTTTTGAATGGGGCCAGACATCCAGGACATACAACAAGCCCTTGTCCATACGTCTGCCGGTGAGCTCCAGTGAGCTTCATACGTCAGTCGTTGGAGGTTTGGAATCAGGGTTTAGCCATCTCCCCTAGACTGTCATCCAGTGAAGAGCGCCGGGCATCCGCTTCCGCCCTCTCACTTTGGTGAAAAACACCTCCGCCACGTGAAGGCAGTGAGTAGGACTTCCTCAGGAGAGGCTATGTAAGACGCCCGGTCATATGGGAGCATTTCAAGAGGTGTGCGGACGGGTGGCCAACCCGCAGCGCAAGGCACCCACCCCCGACCATCCTGAGGCTTTGGAGGTGCCATCACAACTATGTATAACTATAGAAATCAGGTAACCTTAACCATGTCAAGATTTTGATGAATTATTTGTATTTAGCAGATTTCAGATACACACGTTTATTAAAATTCAGCAATTAATGTCATGGACTTGAATATACGACTGTGTAGGCGGTTAGTTTTTATCAACTTCCTATATAATATAGAAGTTGGTTTGTTCTCCAGGTGATCAAAATGAGAGAAAAATTACTTTTGAGTGACTTCAGAGCCCAGGAGAAAATTGCCCGGATTGTTTATTATTAGTATGCTCAAATTATACGAAGAAGCTTGTAGAGTTTTATCTGTACAATCCCATTTAGGAGGGTTACGGTCGGCTGGAGAATAATTCGCTATAAATCATTTCGTATGCCCACTTTTCCTGATTCCTGTTCCTCTCTGTGGGGAAACAGCATCATTTCACCTGTGACCAACCGAGGAAAACATTTTACTCCCACCGCCATTTCGTTCCATGAGTTTCGAGTGGCTTCAACTTCAAATCCCCCATCACAGTGTAGGCAACCTAAACTATGAAGATATATGCTTTCAGTTTTACTCTTACTTATCCTTCCAACTTCATTAGCATGGTTAAAGCCAGTACAGGTTGTCCGGCTATCTTACTGTGCAAGGTAACTTTAAGGTATAGATTGCTGTGATCGAAAAACCATCGTGATAAAATTGAATATATGATCAATAATTTGAAATAAACAAAAAACAAACAGAAACAATTATAGTTTCTCTATTCATCACTCACTTTTTAAGTTGTGCAGAATTCTTCATAACATCAGAATCTATAGCTATTGCGATAGGATGAACAGGTGGATCTCTTTTCACTTGAAAACAATAACGTTTAATTAAACCAATTGAATTTAAGTATCTGTAAGCACCAGCTAACAATAATTCAGGGAATAAATTGAAGCGTTCAATAGCATTAAGCTTTGAACAATTAACATCTTGATCATTATCTAGTATAAATTTATAAGGAACACATAATGCACAAATTACCTGTGTTACCGGTCAAATTTAAACAAGGCGGATATTCTGTTCTACTATCAGTAAGCAGTGAATTGAATGCATCCATATAAGTCGGTGCTAAAATCATCTGAGCAAAATATTTTGCAGAAAAGAGGAACAAATAATAATAATAAGTAAGTAAATAATAATAAACCACCTAGGTAGTAATTATCTTTTACTCAATAATTCATTGAAATTATGAAAAAACTATGTAGATGAAAGGGGTATGACTTTAAGCATAGGTGTTGTATTTCAGTAGGCTACTACTACTCAGTAAGTGGCAATTATGTCCTATGTACAATCATTGATATCAGAATGCGTGTAAAAAATAACAAAAACAAAAAATTTCATCATGATACTAGAAACAATATGCCACCACCAATAATCACTTATGAAAGTGCTAATTAAAAACAATGAAAATACAAGAGAATAATAATACAGATGCTTTAATTTCAATATATGACTGACTCACTCACTCACTGGTTTCAACATAGAACTTTGCACCGATGTGCAACAGTTCGATTCGCCACACTTCACTTAGCACACAAAGCACGAGAAGAAAGTAAAAAGAAATGCAAAACAGAGACAGAGATATGAGGCAAAAATAATAGTAATATCGATGGACCATATAGTTTTATTGGATATGATAAGTTACAAGGATTGGATGCATCTGCGTCATCATTGAGAATGATTTTGAGCCATATCACCAATTGTCTCCAGCCGACATTGGTTCTTACTATCCCGAGGACCTCAACCAAACAGCCAGTCTACACCTCCCTCCCTCCCTAGCTTAAACTAACTGTTGGGGATTTCATTGACTGGTGAAGCCATGTTTTTGTTTGACCACCACTAGCTCTTTCCCAACCTGATCTCTCCTATGTCAGCGAACATTGCCCATCGTCCAGGAAGGCGATCGATGGTTAGGCATGCATGCGTAACACATGTCCTAGCCATCTCAGTTGGTGTGGCTTCACAACCTCGTGGATTTGTTTCCCCTCCCACCTAACTAGCACTTGATCGATACCTCAGCTCAATATTGCTCACCCTACTATACTACTTCACACGGGAGATAGAACGCAGGCACCTATGATCAAAGAAAGCCAGCTAGTCTTTTCATGTCTTCCACTCTCAATGGCCAGATCTCACAGTCATAAAGGAGGATGGAGCGGACTGCTGAGCAGTACACACGCCCTTTGGTGGATAGCCGGACACCACGTCTACGTCAATATGTGGCACAATGAAACTGCATACAGAAGGGTATCCGATAAAACCGATTGTAGATTTTAGAAACACATCAATGTATACGCTGTCAAGATTTATTGTAACAATACTAAGACCAACAAGAGACAATTCAAAAGCTAGAATAGTAGATTCTCATTTGAATTAGCGAGACGACTAAAAAGCCATTAAAATAGACGGAGAGGAAATTACTAGTCAAGTTTGATGTTTACAGTCTCTATAATAAAATAGCCATTCAAAATGCCATGGTTGCACGGAAAACAAGACTAAATGAAGTTGATGGCCTAAAAGACAGGACACAACTATCCGTAGAAGAGATAATAAAAAGGGATTGAATTCCGTCTAACGACAACAACATACATTTGAAGAGAAAATATACCAACAAATGAAAGAATAGCCTTGAGATCACCCATCTCACCAATAATAGCTGACATATTCATGGATTTTTGGAAAGAGAGTGCACTTAAACCATTCATGTCATCAACAAAATGTTTGGTGGAGATGCGTAGGTGACACGTTAGTAATAATGAAAAAGAATAATATTGAGAAATTCTTCTCAGAAATAAAGTCATGTTGACTCAATATAATTCACCATGGAAATCGAGAATGGAATCGCGAAATCACCTATGTTAGACTGCAAAGTACAAAGAGTAACAGATGGCAGCATAAAAACAATGATGCTCTCGATAATCTTAGATGTAGGACTTCATTAGCCACGTCCCCATTAAATTGTAATTTTAGGAATAGTTGTTCCATTTTAACTGTTGTCAGTTTCTCTTTATTACACCTGGCGTTCATGTGTCTCCTTACAAATCTACTAGGATAATCTATTTGGACCAGAGTATTTTGGATTCATCCTAATTCATTTTCTAGGGAGTCATCTGAACAGATCCTTTTTAATCTATTCGTGAAGCATCTAACCAAAATGATTTTGTATCGGATTGGTACAAAACTGAGGAAATGTGTATATTGTCCCACAGATGTGGGTTTTGTATAGACATCTCTCTTGAGTGAATCATCCTCTTTTCTGCTCAATTGGATATCAAGGAGGTGTAGTCTACCATCATGTTCTTCTTCACAAGTGAATCTATATGCATTAAGGTTATGCCGAATACATGAAATAAGGGTAACTCAGTACAACTGTCAACAACCTGGAATACAATTTTGGATATACAAAAATGAACTACGTAATATGACCACAAGTAATGTGTGAATAAAAAAACAAATGGTATAATCACGGGTAGTAATTTTGGTCGAAATATCACCAAAACAAAAAACTTATTGTGTGTGAACTATTGAAATACAATCTTTAATTCTTAGCACTAAGAAAAACCAAGTTGGCACTATTCGCCATAGCAAACATCTATGGCTTATAAAATACAACAGTAGATAAACCATTAAAACACTCTTGGGTAAACTCACTTTTAAGTAGTCTAGAAAGGATTTCGTGTTAAAGTACTTGATACTAAGGATACAGCATACTTTATACTACACTATCGTAAATTTCTTTTGACACAACTCTAACCACAAATGAATTATTGCTATTATATCAGGAAAAAAGTTAGTGAAGTCTGTTTACGACAGTACAGTATGTCAATACCATAAAATAATAAGCAGGTGAAGACTATGCTAATTGACTCAACCACCTGACCTACAACCGATTAACGTCGAGTTCAAACACTTGAGAAACAGAATTGTGTAACAATCTTTTACATACCGCGTATGGTTCATAGCTATTTACACGGCGTAATCGAAATGAATTACTTTTGATTGCAATTTATTACATTATAATGCCATACTGTTGTGTGGTTCTATTGTATTCCAGAAGCAATTTATGAGCTCAAACTGTCACAAAGTGATTAACAATCTAGTAACCAAATATTATTTAACTCTATTGACTTTACCCCCACTCTGCTGTGTGACTTTTTCGCTGTATGCATAACAATAACTGAGTATTTCTTTAGGCTATCTGGATAAGTTATGATTCTGTAAATCCAGAAGTACATATATATATATATATATATATGCATATATATACACTGATAATTCCGTCACAATACATGGTTACCACAGAAACTTCAGTACAACTGCCCAGTCCAGTATATACCTAACAATATATTTTGATTATACTTCTTTACTGCTCCCCCTTAATCTTTCCTACGCTACTTAACAAAGGCTGCGAAGGACACTAAAAGCCGTCAGTAGGGTGATTGGGGTGTTGCTAAACCAACTCGTTAATACTATTGTAGATAGAAATATGGACTCTTGCAAGAAATTAGCAAATATTATCTTATCACACTCTGAGCATCCTCTCTACACACAACTCTCTCCTTGCATCTACCTCATCAGGTAGAACTAAAAGCAACTATAGAAGACTGTATACTCGGACGACTAAGTACAAACACTCTACAATACCTTATCTAGCACATATATTATATGATTGCCAAATTACTGCGGAACTCTTAGTAAACGGCTCCATTTTTTTTCATTATTACATTGTTGTTAATTTTTTCATTGAATTTTCATTTTATATTCACTCATTTATTTTACAATATTATCAGTGTAAATGCCGTTTTAATTATTACCCGTGTAATGAGAAAGTTAGATGCAATACTGCACTACATGCTGAAAATTCCATATTTGTACTAAAAGTACTGTTTGGAATAAAGCCATTATTATATATCATTTGAGTTATTTCGCTTAGATAAGTAAAATATATGACAAAACTAAAAATAGGAGTCCACCTACTTGACTATCGAAGTTTAGAGAATTGATTTTACACACATTCCAAAGTTGAAGAAAGTGCCATTTTTTCATTTATATGACAGAACATTATGCAGTTAGTGACAATTTGAAAAATACTAAGATCAAATATTTATTTTAATAATGTGGAGTAATGACTGTGTCGGTGGCATAGTGGTAGAATGCTAGCCAATCACGCAGGTGGTTTGGGGTTCAATCCCTGACCGACACGCTCCTTTACCTCGCTAAGCCAGTAATATGACCGGTAAACAGGTTGGGCACGAGACTAGCAACCCTATCCCGTAAAAATAAACACCACCGCTACCGAAACTTCAAAGCTCTAAATTGAAGCCCTATGTTCCACTTGGAATGTAAAGGAATAGGAAAAAAATGACTGAACTCATTCCATAGGATACTACATTCAAAAGTAAGTAAATAGATTTCCGAATACCCAAATATAAAAAATTACTGACTTTACCTGTTTAAAATAAGAATAATAAAACCCCATTTCAGTTCTGAATGTCAGTTCACGTTCCATATTGGATAAATGCGAGAAAAAAAGATCATTTTCATGGAGATTTGAAACATGAAACCAATGTAAGTAGCAAGCAGTTACTGCTATACAAAATACAATGAAACGAAGGATTAATCTCGACCAGTAGAAATTCTTCTCATTTGCCGCGGTCTTCAACCTTTTGACTGATGCATTTGTTTGCGCTACTAAATGATTAGATTTGCGACTTTTTGTTCCAGAGTAAGACATTCGAGTACCTGAAAAATAATAGTCCTTGATGAATAAATATGGATTATGAATATTATCCCTATTGTTATTCAGTGTTTTTGAGAAGTTATTAGAGGCCAATGTTTCTTGGAAATAGTCTTATGCGTCATATCCTTTCATGTCTGCTTATTTAATCACCCTAGAGATGCTTTAACTATCTCTTTCCCTAACATTATTCACTGCTGTTCACAGTGTTATTTAGCTTGCTAGGTTTTACCTCCTTATCTTGAACTAAGGCCGTTCAAATCGGTCTTATGACAACAACCATACAGTGGTGACTACAACAATGACTGCCTGAGAGAAATTACAAGAGACTATGTCTGAAACTTATTGACATATTTTGCTAGTAGACAGGTAGTTCAGTAGCTTGGGTACATAAGTTTACAAATTTGGGTGATGGTTCTAACTTTCATTCAGTATACTCAAAGGTTGATTAGTTGGATAGTACCATAAGCGCTAAAACATCTAATGTGACAAAGACACGTAGATTATCTGGTTCACAAAACTAATACTGATAGTCACCCATTTGTAAATGTACCAAGTAAATCTTACACATTAACATAAACTGGTTTGTATGAGACTGACATGATATGCATAATCTGGTTCAAATTAAACTACAATTAAAACATGAGAATTAAAGTGCTACGCAGATATTTAGATAGAAGGTGAGTATACTGGATATTATACTATATTATATCCTAAAAATTATCATTCCAGCCTAATTCGAGAACTAGGCAAATGACTGCAGCACACATTCGTAAAAATGATAATTACATAGTACTGAATCAAACCACAATCTTAGTGCAATCGCAAAAAGAAAAAATAAGCAAAACAATTCACACTATTCACAACAAAATATACCCGAGATAAAATGACTACTCCAGATATCCTTTCTCCAAAGATATTTCACAAAGTGAGCATGCTCCGAATTGTAGAAAAAATATTATTAGTCCGCTCACATTCTAACCCCAGAGTACTTGACTCAACACCCCACAAGCGGAGGAGTACAGCCTAGAAGCGTCTAACACTTACAAGAAATCACGGTGTACTATTCCTTCATCAAACAAACGACAAACATTTGAGCGAACAACCTTTAACAATCAATTTATCGCCTGCCTTCATAATTCCAAATGCTTTTGTTTCAGCATAAAATAGCCAGTAAAGACAATCAGAATTAGATTAGAAAGTGTATTGTGGTACAAGTACAAGAAGGAATCACAGTCAGTGAGTTTTGGTTGTCATTTAAAACCACAAAGAATGTACAGTCAATAAGAAAATGAGACACTCAACATGAAATACAGATTTCAAGAATGAATGTAGGCAGTGGTGTGAGAGACAGTGTAAATGAGACAGACAAATGAATACACAAACGGGATAATCTAAATGTGAATTTAGAGGTAACAAACAACAATAATAATCAAACCGAAACGATGCTGTGCTGCAAAAAACATATTACAATTAATCTGTCTCTCTCTCTCTGTCTGGATTCAACATAGACCTTGGCACCGAAGTGCAGCAGTTCGAGTTGCCACGTTCCAAAGAGCACACAAAGGTAGACAAGAAAATGAGTGAAGAGAATCAATAGAGTTTTGACAAGTATAAGAGTGAAACAGAATGAGTAATGGTAGAAAGGAATATGAAAGGTTACAGAGACTGAATACATCTGCGCCATTGACAACGATTTTGAGCCATGTCACCTATTGTCTCCAGCCATTGATTCTTAGAGTCCCGAGGGTGGGCCCCAACCCGGAAGTCTGCATCTCCCTACCTGACCCAGTTTAACTGTCAAGGATTTCATGGATTGATGCCATGTTTTTGTTTGGCCACCACTTACCCTTTTCCAACCTGCACCTATATCAGCTAGTAATGCCCGTCGGGGGAGACGATGGTTAGGCATGCGCAGCACGTGGCCTAACCATCTCAATCTATGTAACTTCATAGCCTCTTCGAGTGATTTTCCCTCTTTACCCAACACTCTACGCCTAACGTCAACATTACTTACCTTATTATACCACCTAACGTGAGAAAGAGATCGTAAACATCTGTGGTCAAATCAGACAATCTCTTCATGTCTTCCGCTCTCAATGGCCACGTCTCACCGCCATAGAGAAGGACGGAGCGAACTGATGAGCAGTATACACGTCCCTTGGTTGACAGCCGGATGTCACGCCTACGCCAGAGACGGTGTAAGTTAGCGAAAGCAGCCCGAGATTTCTGGATCCGTGCTGTGATTTCGTCACCAATCAATCCGTTGGTGCTGATACAACTTCCTAAATAGGTGAAGTGGTCAACATGTTCTACCACTTCACTCCCTATCACTAAGCTTGGAGTTGACGTAGTCCAGTCCTGTAGCAGCATCTTACATTTCACAGGGGCGAATCGCATGCCAAACATACGAAGATTGCTGCTCAAGGTGTTCAGAAGAATCTGCATTTTGTCAGCGTCCTCTCCTAACAGGACTATGTCGTCTGCGTATTCTAAGTCTATAAGACTATTCCCTGGTAACAGGTCGATTCCTAAGTCGTTAAGTTCAGTTAAGGATACTTCCATTAGCATATCTATGATGAAGTTAAACAGAAAAGGGGAAAGTGGACATCCTTGACGGACGCCACTGGTTGTTATCAATTCAGATGACAATTCCCCATAAGCCCTTACACAGCTACGTGAGTTTGAGTAGAGTGCCTTGATTAGTGCAATGCACTTTCTTGGCACTCCCTTCATAGTCAAACATTGCCATAGAACCTGTCGATCCACGGAGTCGAAGGCCGCCTTCAAGTCAAGAAATATGGCAATTGTTGGACGCCTAAAAGTGTGCCTATGTTCTAGGATCTGTCGGAGAGTGAAGATATGATCTATGCACCCTCTACCTGGCCTTATTACAATGAATGAATGATTATCAGCTAAAAAGTAATTCATTCACGTAGAAAGAAAGAAACAACGTGAACACAATGACAAGATTAAAAAGCGCTACGTTAATCTTCTACAACACATAAAAAGAAAGGTCACAAAGTCGTAAAAGGCCTGAAATAAACGTTGTCAGTGAAACAAAGGTGAAAACGGAGAATGTGGGATAAGGATTTAAAGTGTTAATCACCAATGTTTACGGAGTACTTGTTGACCTTATTGTGGGTCGAGGTAAACTGGGCGGTTAGACGTACTTTTTCTGAATACAGAGACCAGGTTTTCTGGTATTGATTACTACCGCTTCAGCTACTGATAGAAGACGTAGTCGAGCTCGTCTAGATAGATTACCAGAAAACGGTAGATAACCGAGAACGCCTGCTGTGGTATTATTGAATGTCCAAGTGGACCAAGACCGCATTATTGACACATTTTTGGTTTCCCCTTTTCTCAACCATACAGGTACATGTTCACATGCGCACATAGATAAAGCCTTCTGAGTACGGCCTATGTAACTAGCTACACATTAGTTGAGTTCATAGATACACACTGGTGAGGCCATCGTTGGTAATTTATCCCTGGCTCGCTGTGTGACTTTGAAAATAATTTATGATGCCGGTAATTACCAATATGATTCGCAAAGAACGTGGAATTTGTTGTAAGTTGTATTGTGAATTACCGGTATCCTAAATTATTTTCAAAGTCACTTGGTCAATACAAAACACAACGGAATGAAAGGCATTAAAACGATTCGCTCTTAACCAAATCGAACCCTTCTAAGCACATATATTGGAACTGGAGAGATGTTTCTCAAAGACTTTATGCAGCTCATGAACTTCCCCAGAACATGAAGGAATTATTTATTGACTATGTTGGTGAATTAACGGAAAGTTGAGAGAACAAAAACGGATATTACTAACTAAAGGAATAGATACACAAACGACCGAAGCTAATTTTCCAGTTGACTACAACCGGTACGGTTTTAACTTTATCTTTACATGTTTAGATAAGACACAACTAGAAGCTTTGTCTCGGTCTAAAATTGTGACAGGCGTAGTCAGGTTAGTCGTTTAGGGACTGACGTTCAATTTGAAAACTTATTTCCCCAGACAAACGACTTAATCCCTTCGTCTTAGTTTGAGCTAGAAAGCTTTAAAAGTACTCTAAGTGACTTCTGCTACCAGTTTAGGAAGAATAAACACCCTGTCAACAGCCTACTTACGAAGAAACACCAAGATGCATTACTTGACCGCAAAATTAACAAAAATCTGATAATAACTAGACCTGATAAAGGATCTGGTACGGTAACCATGGATAGGAGTGATTATATAGATAAAATGAACCTTATTCTAAGTGACCAAGCAAAATTCCAGCAATTAAACCGTTGCAAAAACACAACTGAGGCCACCGAACGCCAAATGACTAAGCTACTAAAACCATTAGTTCACAGAAATCTAATGCTTACGTCTACGCTTGAATTAAAACCATCAAACACACATACACACCAAAAGTTTACGGTTTGCCGAAAGTCCACAAGCATGGAGTACCATTGCGTCCTATTCTAGATATGTGTCAATCCCAATACCATTATACAGCAAAGTGGCTAATAAAAGTATTCGAACCTCTACATCGTGAACTTATGAGGTTCAGAGTAAAGGATGTATTCAGCTTTGTAGAAACTGTCACAAGCTTGAATGTAGATGGAAAGAAAATGATGTCGCTGGATGCAGCATCATTACTTACCAACGTCACATTGCTCGTAACAGTTAATTACATATGTGAACAAATGACAAAACGAAAGATAGATATAGGAATCCCACCTGAAAAGGCCAAGGAATTACTGCTGAATGTCCCGTAAATTTACGGGAGAATTTGCAGCAGAATCGGTGTAACTAGTTCGCCAGCTTGAGGAACTAATATGGCAGAATAAGGATGACTTTATGGAGAAAAATATGATGAAAAAATACCAAGCGATACAAGAATAAAACGTCAAGGCCACAGTAAAACTCATTCTCGCGTACCGAATACGTTTGTAATTACCGGTTTTCAACCTGGATTCTCTTATTCTGTTGTTATTGATCATTGTAAATGAAAACTCAGTTTACAAGAATCTTAGGTCATTTTTAAAAAAACATGGCTCTAAACATCTGAGTACATTCTGAATATCATTAGACAATACTAGTATAAGTTCACTGTACCAACAAATGTGGGCGGAGTTGGTAGATATCATATTTCACATTTTAGAAGAGTGCACCGTAGACTTAAGATATAAATATGCGCTTGGAAGACTGACTTTCGAAAAAATTTCTTTCGCTTTGTTCTAGCAGACATGAGTATTTCATCAGGTAATGACATTCAGATTAAATTCATTACATGGTGAATTCCTCTTGTTATCTGGAAGAGACGTCTTACATGTTCGCATATTACTGTCAAAAATACTGGGGTAGTTCACACTGATAAGGTGTGATGCTCAGGCAAATAACTCATCTCATACAGATGCTGGACTGCTTGAGGAACATTCTGTGTTTGGTGAGTGGTCAGTAATTTCAGTAACAGTAATAATAAACAAGTGTACTTAATTTACATATCTTTATATCCCTATATTTTTAAGTTTTCAGCATGCATGAAACACATTATCTGAGCATAACTACGGACTGGTATTCACATATACGAGTATCTATAAGCCATTTACTCTGTAAGAATGCGAAATAGCATGGAAGAGTATGCATAAAGATAAATCATATTGGAAAGTATGGGTATAGAGGAAAATATTGGGTGAAATGATTAGCAATGCATCATACTTGGCGTTGTGGTTTCAACATTTTAGGTACACCAGTCATATTAAAAAATGTGACGGTAGTAAAATAGAATGCTCTTAGTTCTGCACAACCAAGCCAGAAAGTAGGAGTTAAAAATGATGGGAGAGTGAACTTACATAAAAAAGAACTGGACAAGATTCATTGTGTCATATGCAGAATCCTAAGTAAAATGTTGACCGAAATACACCAATGATAGTTAAGTTTGGCATGACGCAATGAAAGGGACCTCTCACTTAGTTGATTTCAGCATTTTGGAGTAGTTTTCCAATGAAATAAGACGGCACACCAGTTGGTTCTACAACTTTATCTTTTTATTACGTATTCAATTAAGGTTTTTAAAGGCGTCTTTTTGAGCTAGTTTACCAAGCCCTTACTTATCAAATACGTCGTGCATTATGTGAACCACCCTGGATTTATCACAGTACCGTCCAAAGGCATCATCTATGTAAATGTACTTTCAAGTATAATCCGTTGAACTAACCTATTACTTTCCGGAAAAAGGCAAATGTGAAAGCAAGTTCTGCAGAGAAATATTCCGATAAATTGCTAGTGCTGGTGAGAAGATAGGGAAGCATTAGATTAGCCCTGCATGACTCCATTTGGCAACCTGTTCCTTCGAATAATACTTCATACACGTGGGATCTAAACAAACTGTCGATAAATACGATTCTAGATATTTTGTAAGTACTGGAGTTATTCTAAATCAAATTCATCCTGTTAGTTAAGTGTTCATAATCAACTTCATGGAAAACTCTTGAAATGTCACAGTAAATAATTGCAATATTTCCACGTGAGTAAAATGCTATACTCTGTCCTCACACAGAAGTCTTTGATCTTCCGAAATAGCAGTTTTTCAGAAGCTCAGGTTGCTATCATTTATGAACTGAAGATAATTTTTCTGGCCTCCAAATATGAGTAATTTATTCAGCCCATAAAATAGTGAGTTTTTGGTAAACCTCAGTATTCTCTCGACTACATGTAAAAATCTCTTCTTTAAAAAATTTCATTGGTCTATGTACTTGCAATTGGTCTGAGATCGCAATTCTCGTAACACATAGCTTTACCTTAATATAATTTGTAGGCTGTTAAAAGAGCCTATAGGAACGAATGAACATCCTTGGGATATGGGACCTTTTCTACCGTGAGAAACCACTAACACTACTTACTCTTGACTAAATGTTGCCCACGGAAACCGCTACCGACTTATCTAAACGTGTACAAAACCAGTTAGTTACGCTGCTTGAACGTTCTGGAGCTCAGTTGTGATAGGATTTAATTAGAAATAACGCTTTTAGAGCCTCTACAACACAGTATTCTATGGCCACACATATGATGTCAGCAATTAAGGCTGTCAGAAGGGTGGAACGAGAAACCAAGTAGGAGCCATTTCTTCTTCATGATTTGTGAGGCTTTCTCTACCCGCTGAAAGATGAATGCCCTTCCATTTGTTTCAGAAGGTATTCCCCGATTCACTTGCCCTCTGCCGTGCTTTCGGAAGTAGTTTCATAAACAATACACCGAATATAACAGGTTGTAAGTCTGTAATTTGAGTAGTCGTTTTGGCAGAAAAGTCGGTTCCTAAATGCTCACGATTGTTGCATGGCCATTCATCCCGCTAGACCTTAACTTTGGCCACACTACTTGCTGACCACTAAGTCTGGTCCACCCAACCTGGTGGTCAAGCTTCTCTCAGCACCGCCCTAACTAAAAAGGGGAATATGACCCTTACGGCTATTCGAAGATGTATTCAGTAACAGTGGTATGAAGACAGTACAGTGATATACAATCACACCACAACGCAAAGCCTCCGTGCTCTTGTTTCTCGCAAAACCTTGGTGTCTGTAATCTTATTCAGTCAGCAGAGATAAACATACTGACCAGTGAAAGCGAAACGTCTGAGATTCAGTTGAATTGACAAACTTCTCTGTTCCACTACACATCCAATACTTTAGATTTGTATGTAATAAGCCATCTGATGGTTCGTTGGTTTTTACGATGATAGCTGGGAGTGTGGACAGCAACTGCATGACGGAAGATATAATTTATAGTTATGGCATCATAACTCAATTCGTCTGTCATGAAGTTATGACTGATGGATGCGCCAACGTATTGACCCGATTAAAAAAATTTTAAGTGATTTGTTTCGGAGGATCATCAAGGTTATGCAATCAGCAGGTGTTGATCATCTGATGATGGCTTAAATTTCCTTTGATGTGTATAAGATTTATGTACTCTGTCTACATAGATAGGAATAAACATATATTATATTATGTATTACAACCAAACCAAGTTCGAAGGATTTTGTTACAGATACCTCACGAATAACCTTGTGGAGAGACCGACTTGCAGTCCTCAACCAAAAACAAACTGTTCCAAACAGAATTATATTGATGACAGACTGCTGGAGAACTGCAAAATCATTGCCCTATTAAGTAAAATTTGTCAGATAAACATGGCACAAACCTTCAAATATGCACCCAAACACCAAGAATACAGTGACTGGACCTAAAAATTGCTTGCAGACAACAAAAATGTGCGTTTAAACAAAAAAGTAGAACAGCCCAATGAATAGCAAACGGCCTAATCCACTCAGGATGCCAGATGGCACGTTAAGTACAACTTTAGTGTATAAGGTCGCAATAATATACGTAACATTATTACTACCTTTAGTTTCAAGTGGAACATAAGAATCTCGCAGAAAAGTGGTTTCATCTTATTGCCAACAGTCTTCTATTCAACTTCACGATTGCTGATCAACCTTTGTTTCATCCTCATACAATCCTTCTCATGTCGCACTCGGATGCTGAGCGTGTTTCTCGCTGAGGTTCTACTCGACGGAATGAAAAGTGATATAGCTCGATGGCCCGCTTTAGTGTGTGTTTGATCCATCTCCGATTCCTAGTCAATATTTGCTGTGTAGTCGGTTTTGCCTAAATTTCTACTAGAGTTCCTTAATACTCGTTCTTTCCGGCCAGCCCCCTCACCTGCAGTATGGAGCTGGAGCAGCTTGTTGTTCGTGTGAGTCTGAAGCCTGAATTTTGTGAATTAGAACCACATAAGTAGAGTGAGTGTTGGTGATTAGGAGTTTTTCCCTTGCACTAGATTCTGTAGATCTCCACACTGATTTCACAATAATGAACGCCCATAGTGTCTTAACCAACTTAGCTGGCTTGATGTTCTCACATGTGCCGCCTGCACCTGAAGCTATGCCTCTCAGGTCACTTAAGTGTGGCAGACGGCCTCCTATAAACTTTGATGTCGATAGTGATGAGTACTTGTAGCTGTGGATTGTTTCTCTTCTTCACCCCTATCTTCTCCGTGTTCACTTGAAATCCCGTCTTCGCTGCCTGCTTCTTCCGTCAACCTGTTGATCTTTGCCCGTAGATCTTCGAGTTTGTGCGACATTTAACATAAATAATCCACAAAGTTAAGGTCTCTCAGGGTCTTCTCGACGGTCCAACATCTATTTGTTTTCTCATTCTCTTCGGTCTGCCTAGTGATTCAGTCTACCATAGTTTGGAATGTCATCGGTGATAGTGTAGAGCCATTATATTAACTCCAGCTGTACGCTTACAAAACTAATTCATGTACGCTTGTTATACGCTTACGGAAACTAATTTCGAGTATTTTTGTGGAATATCTGCCATTGTATTATTGCACGTTGCTTTTGGTTTGTTATATATATATATATATTATGCGGTTGCGCACTTTTGCGTTCCCCCCGCGCTTGTTGCATACTTATACTATGCGCGTCGGTGGCACAGTGGTTAGGACTCTCGCCGACCATGCACATGGTCCGGGGTTCGAACCCCTGCCGGCGCACACCCGATATCTATGGTATGCCTGAATTTGGGCAACCGATATCCATGCTGAAAGTTCCACACTTGTACTGAAAATACGGTGTGGAAATCAAGCTGTAAATAAAAAAAAAAAAAAAAAAATGTAATGGAAACATTTCACGCCAGGCTTGATGACGCACTGAGGAAATAATAACGGATTACGACTATGATGTATTCCACACAAGTATTACTACGTTGCCTATCAATTTCGTTAACTATGCAATGTCCTCAAAATGATAAATAAGAGAGATACAGGTAGTCGATATAAGTGCATATATTTACAAAAGAACAACAGTCAAACAGTACATATTCACATTAAAAAATGTTTATAACAATTCAGTGGAAAGAAATCACAGTTGCAGATTTTTTATGGCTACATCATA